CTGCAGGCCCCAAGCTTAGCGTGGCCAACGGCCACCTAGCTACCGGCATTTTGCTAAGCCTCCTCGCTTTCCCTTTCCCCCCTCTCCCTAATTGCCGCTTAATTAGCCGCTTGTTACTACCTCAACCCCCTTTCCTATCCGCTGGACTAATTTGCTTGTAACTTTGAACATAATTTTACCTTTAACACTTTACCCCTCCGCCTCCAATACAAATTTAATGGCCTGATGAGAATTTATTGAAAGTATACGTATGCTCGCCAATTGCTCTTTGAATTTAAAAAGTTTATATAACAGACTAAGTCCTAAAAACATTCTAATTAGATATTTAGCTGATGACTAATTGTGCATGTAACGGTTTTCCAAGGCAACCGCAAAGTAAAAATGGAAACCCTGACCAGTACTTTGATTAACCTGAAAATGACTGATAGCATTTTAGCCGGAAATATAAGAACTCACTGTTCTGTTTATATTGGAGCATTTCTCACCATAATTTGTTACTTTTAGGTCCTGTTCTGATATTGCAGATAACAAAAACAGACTGGCTGAGTATATACTAAGCTTTTGCAAAAAGTGCTAATCTTCTGTCTGTTGCGGTGCTAAATTTTGTATAAGCGGAAACTGTTGTGTACAAAAAGTAGCTTTCCAGATGATTTAGCTTTATTATGATTGTTTACTATCTTCTTGTACAGGATAAAATAGATGCACTTTTGTTTACGAACCTAACTCGTCGATGCAGTAAAAAAATGCGCTCAAAGCTTATTTTACAGCTTTTGGGATACAAAACTTAACGCATTGGCAAAAACTCATTTTTAAGGGGAAGCGACATTCGTTAATGAACATCTACAATACGATTTGAATAGACAGAGCATGGATCTAAAAATCTCATATGTAAACACAGTTTTAACTTCGAATGATAGACTTTCTTCCGCTACGACAGTAGAGGAGACCTGATGTACTCCTATGTGGGTACAATACCTAATATTTTTGTTTAAATTTTTATATTTTCTAGGCTTTGAAAATCCCTAGAAAAAGCAAATGACTTGAGTACTAATCTTTTTGTCCAGTACGGTTTTTGCAAATGACCGAAAAGGCCTACTAAAATGCTGACATATCTGAACTATCATAGTATTGTGTCACATAGTAGTGGATTTTTCAACCCCATTAAAGTAATTTTTCCTACTGGGAAACATATTTCAGCATTTCGGTTAACGTTTCACGAGAATGGTTACTGCATTATAAGCTATTGCATTGCTTGTACATACCTTCCCGTCTACTATTTCTGCTCATCGTTTAATTCTTTTCACAGCCAAACAACGTCCACTCTTCGGTCAACTGGAAGGTGAGATCAGTGGTCGTCTCAACGGCCTCGAGTTGACGGGCGTCCGCCTGAGTGGAAATTGGTCCGCTGCATCACCCACCAGCACCAGACATGAGATCCGATTTCACAGCGTCCCACCTGAACACTCCCTTTGTCTGCAGGCCCTTCTAGAGACCGTGGTCCCCGCACTGTGGTATACGGCACGCGAGGTGAGTCCCAACACACAGATCAAGGCGGTTACTTGTGCTATGGGTGGGTTCCGACTACGAACCAGCGAGACCTGGTCCGGTGTAGAAGGATTAGTCAGGTTGGGTCGCTAG